AAAGCCGGACTAAACAATTCAATCGGAATACAATGAATCAGTGGCAGACCTAGAATATTTTTTTTATGTCTGCACATTTAGGGCGGGAGTTCGGGGGTGCTGGCCCTAATTTTTTTTTTTAAAAAAGATCATGATCATGATTCAATTTTTGCTTCCACTTCAAAAGTAAAGCTTTGGTGAATACCCCATTGTTTTAAAGAAATAATACATAATAATAATTAAAAAAAATAAACACCACAAAAAGACATTTATAAAATATAGTATAATTGTAAGAGTTAATCGATCAAAAACTCACATTTGTCTGTTTGATCCAAAATTGGCCACTTTTGTTTCACAAAAAAACGTGAAAAATCCCGTGCGATTCTCTTCCACCTGATGAAGATTGATTTCAGGAATATTGATGTTTATTAAGATTTGGAGCTAATAAGGTTTATAACAAAAAAAAAAGACAAAGCAATGTGCTAGGTTTAAACTTTAAGTTTTTAATTGTAGGGGTTGATTGGTTTGGGCATATTTTTATCTTTTTCTTTTAATCTTCCTATTTCTTTTTTTTCTTTTTCTTTTTACTTGACTTGAATCTCCCATTCTTTGTGAAATTTTTTTCTCCCAATTTTGTGTCTTCAAGTACAGACACATGCACCATGCTGCGTCCGCCATTGCAATGAACCAATCATACGTTTAGCCCAACTAACCCAAAAACTCAAGCATGCAATTAGTCAAAAACCAATAAAATTGAGGTTTAAATCCTTTTATAAATAAAAAAAAAAAATCGCCTAGCCAAGAACTTTTTTGTCAATTGAAAAAGTCCAACACGTTGTATCTAAAAAAAGAAAGAAAAAGAAACCCAACCCACAAAGTCCAAAACGTTTTTTAGCCCAATTTACCGAAAAACTCAAGCACGCATTGAATTAGTCAAAAATCAATAAAATTGAGGTTTAAATCCTTTTATAAATAATAAAAAAAACGCTTAGCCAAAAAGAATTTCTTTGTCAATTGAAAATGCATGTCAAACTATAAAGGCTTATGTATGATGCCCACGTATAAGCAAGGCATGAGATTCTCTCTCTCTCTCTCTATTTAGCTTTTATGTATGTTATATACTTGGATATTTCATTCACTGTCTTTAATGGAATTTGCAGGTGCAGTTTCATCTTAGCTTCTTCATATATTGTATCTTGGGATGTTTCATTCAACATAATATCACGACATATCATCATATATAAAAGTCTACACAACATAATATTACATGGAATGATGTAAAAAAATGACAACATTCTATTGCTTAATGTTTCAAAGTGTCACATTACAGAAGAATGAAACATCCACCCAAGATATATCATTCGAAAAATTAAGAGGAGACTATATTTGTAAATACCACATAAGATAGCGAATGGAACATACAAGCATAGAACTTATATATACAATCTCAAAGTGGAGCTACTCATCTTATGCCCTACTTATACATGGGTCTCATACTTGAGCATTATTTCTAACTTGGCATTGGGCAATAAAGAATATTTTTGGTTGAGTAAAACCATTTTTTTTTTCTTAAAATAAAAAACTTCAAATCGGTTCGAATCACCACCAGTTTTCACCGGTGCGGGAAAAAAATCGTGCTTGTTAATTAATTAAAGAGTAAATATCTTTTTTGGTCCTTAACAAATTCTATGATGCCCGCTTTAGTCCCTAGCAAATAACAAGTTCCATCGTGATACCTAAGAAATTCAAAATGGACTCATTTTAGTCCTTTTAGGGACTAATATGAGTCTTTTTTTAAATTTGTGAGGGACCACGATTTCAACTAAATGGGTCCATTTTGAATTTCCTATGGATCACAATGGGCCTTTTTATTTCCTAGGAACTAAATCGGGTATCCTGAAATTTGCTGAGGACCAAAAAGGGTATTTACTCTTAATTAAATTTTAGAGAATGTTTGAATACTTAAAACCATCAAATTAGAAAAAAGAGTTAAAATAGATTCTTTGTATTTAGATTTGCCAAATGATTTATGTTAATTAATATTTTGCAGATATGATGCAAATAAAAAATCTAAATTATATATATGGGAGATAGGTTATTCTATCTACTATTTTTTCTGTCTATATTTGCCTACCACTCTCCAATACTGTTATATTAGAATCTTAATAGGAGAGAGAAAGATAAATATTAATTAAGATTCTGATCTAACGGTCATAAATGCTAATTAATTATATATATATTGCAACTATTCATTGAGTACGTTGACTGAGTTTCTTAAAGAGATATAAAATAATTAATTTAGCCTCATTCAATGCTTTAAGATTTTGGGTCGAAGTGGCACTTATCATGATATCAGAGCTTTAGTGACCACAAGGTCACGAGTTCGATCCTCACTGCCCCCACTTTCAGGTGAAATTAAGAAAAAACATAAGTCAGACAAAAAAAGCTTTAGTGACCACAAGGTCACGAGTTCGATCCCTACTGCCCTCACTTTTAGGTAAAATTAAGAAAAAGCATAAATCAGACAACAAAAAAATGGGCTTGTGTCATATCCACGTTTCAAGTCCAAAGGGCTCTCACGTGAGGGGGTGTGTTAGAGAGATATAAAATAATTAATTTAGCTTCACCTAATGCCTTAAAATTTTGGATGTGTTAGAGAGATATAAAATTTTGTGTCATATCCATGAATTAATCAATCCTCTCACATAAAAAATATTTTTGGTTGAGTAAAACTTTTTTTTTTCTTAAAATAAAAAACTTCAAATCGGTTCGAATCACCACCAGTTTTCATCGGTGTGGGAAAAAAATCGTGCTTGCTAAATAATTAAATTTTAGAGAATGTTTGAAGGAGCAGGTTATATTTATAATTTTTTTTATTTACAAATTCTTACAAACTACACTAAGTACGACCGGTCATACTTTAATCATGCAGTGTACGACGGGTCGTACTTAGTGTAATTTGCAAAAAAAAGTTTTTAAACGGATCTTATCCCATGTTTGAATACTTAAAAGTTAAAACCATCAAATTAGAAAAGAGTTAAAGTAGATTCTTTGTATTTGGATTTTCCTAATTATTTATGTTAATTAATATTTTGCAGATATGATGCAAAGAAAGAATCTAAATTATATATATATATATATATATATATATATATATATATATATATAGAGGCAAGATCCTTTGACACCAGTGTCAAAATTCAAATTTGACACCTCATCTGAGAGCCGTTAGATCAAAAAAGATCAACGGTGTCATATGCTTGCAAATCAGAGTCGTTGATCTTTTTTTATCTAACGGCTCTCAGATGAGGTGTCAAATTTGAATTTTGACACTGGTGTCAAAGGATCCTACCTCATATATATATATATATATATATATATATATATATATATATATATATATATGAGTCAGGATCATTTTACACCGGTGTAAGTTACACTCTCAATCTTGTCCATTGATGCCACTTATATCTAAGGGCTCAAATTTTTTAGTAATGTGAGTCATTGAATATAAGTGGATCAATGGTCAAGATTAAGTGTAAGACTTCTAACTCTTTCACCACTGTAAAAATATCCTGCCCTATATATATATATATATATATATATATATATATATATATATATATAGGCAATGTATTTCTCGTGTTATTGGAGAAAAAGGGAACTCTACACACTCAAATTCATGATGGGACCCTCACATTAAAAAAAATGATTGTACGCAAAACGAACTCTCACTAACATGAGAAGAAAGCTCTCCTACAACATGAGAATTCTTTTTTCCTATATATATATATATATATATATATATATATATATATATATATATATATATATATATATTTCAACTATTCATTGAGTACGTTGACTGAGTTTATTAGAGAGATATAAAATAATTAATTTAGCCTCACTCAATGCCTTAAGATTTTGGGTTGAAGTGACACTTATCATGGTATCAGAGCTTCACTGCCCCCACTTTCAAGTGGAATTAAGAAAAAGAATAAGTAAGACAAAAAAAAATGGGCTTGTGCAGCATAAGGCAGACTAATAATGAGCTTGTGTCATATCCACGCTTCAAGCTAAAGGGCTCTTACGTGAAGGGATGTGTTAAAGAGATATAAAATAATTAATTTAGCCTCACCTAATGCCTTAAAATTTTGGATTGAAGTGACACTTATTAGAGTTGATCAAGTTATGGCTGGGTTGAATTTAATAATAACGAGTCACTGCGAATTCATAAATTGTTTTAAATCTTATTTAATGAATCACTTTAATATTTATAAATGATTTACAAATAAAATATGTGTCTTATAAGAGTTATGTTGTAGGAAAAATGATTGTGTTATGTTATAGAGATTCATTTTGCGTGTCGTAATTTTTTTTTCTTCAAAACATGCGGATCTCACAAAATATTGTGTGTGTAGGAAACTTTTTGTAGTCATGTTAAATGGTGAATCTAAACCCCATAAAATATTGTGTACTTACAAGTTGTTAATTGTTATAGACAGTTCAATAATTAAAATAAAAACCATTACATGAAAACTTGAAACTTGAAATAATAATCCAAAATGTATTTAATATTTTTAAATTATTAAAATGATTTAATAAAGTGTATTAAATGTTTCTTAAATACAGTCTTATAGGAGATTATTTTTTTTGGGGAAAGTATATAATTATTTATGAACAAATTAACAGCATTAATGAGAGTTGAAAGAAAAAAAATAGAATAAATAATAACAAAATCAACACTATTGTCCATGAATTAATAAGATCCTCTCACATAATTATTTTAAATAATATTGAGAGTATCAATTCTCCTTTTTTATATTTTATGATTCAATTAATTAAGAGAATTGATAAACTTGTTAAATTAAACAGGTTTACCTTCAACCGGGTACATAATACATTTGCCAATGATATTTTATATATGGAAGGTAAATCTGAGCAATTTATCAGAGAATCTAGAGCGTATAAACATTTAGACCATAAGCCTTAGTGTATGATCCGATTCACTGATGCTCTCCATGACTCCTGCTTCTCCGTTTAAAGTTTTGGCATTCTCTGTACTTTTTGTTCTTCTGATTTATACTGCAAATGGAAAAGTTCACCATTACAAGTTTGTGGTAAGTGCTTCCTTTGTCTCACTAGCAATGGTGGTATGGTGGAATCTAATTTCAGTTTTCAATTCCTTGTCACACAACTTTAATTGCTGAACCACAACTTCTAGCACCTTAAAACTTGCACAATTTTGTATACGGATTTTGTTTCTGCAGATAAAATCTTCATCTTTCACTAGACTATGTATTACCAAGAACATTTTAACAGTAAATGGGGAATTTCCGGGTCCAACCTTGAAAGTTCATAGAGGAGACAAGCTTATAGTCAAGGTTTATAACCAGGCAAAATATAACATAACACTACATTGGTATGTGGCTATCTGAAATATATTTTGTTAATGTTTAGGGGACGGTTATACCTACTATCATTTTTGACTTATTATTTTTATATTGTTGGATTAATTTGAAATCAATGGTAGTTATTTTTATTTTTATTTTAACTTTTGATTTTAAAGTGATCCAACAATAATTAAACCGATAATAAGAGTGGTAAGTCTAAAATAATGGTAAGTATAATCTTTCCCAATATTTTTATATATTAAACTTAATTTTATTTAGTATATGATTGGAAGAGTCTTTGCAGGCATGGAGCAAGACAAGAGAGGAATCCATGGTATGATGGACCTGAATACGTAACACAATGCCCAATTCAACCAGGAGATATGTTCAAACAGATTATCCATTTGGCTACGGAAGAAGGAACAATATGGTGGCATGCACATAATGGGTGGGCAAGAGCTACAGTTCATGGACTTGTCATCATTAATCCCAAGCGTGGATACAGTTATCCCTTTCCCAAACCCCATGCTGAGGTTCCAATCATATTAGGTACTCTTTACCCACAAGAACTTTATCTACATTTTTTCCTTTTGATTTTTTACTACTATTTCTGTATTGGATTTTGCATCATTGTGAAGGAGAGTGGTGGAAGAAAGAAGTTATGGACATTCCAGAGAAAGCAAACAAAACAGGAGGAGAGCCAATTCTATCAGATGCATACACCATAAATGGTCAACCGGGTTATCTATATCCATGCTCCAAAAAAGGTACACTACTTCCTACACTATATTAGTATATTACATATACAAATATGTTACACTACACATTTTTCATTTGTTTATAAACTTCTTGTTAGTTCTCTCCAAGAGAGACTAAGTTTTCCCATTTTATCTGATAGAGACTTTTAAGATGAATGTGGAATATGGAAAAACATATCTTCTTCGGATGATCAATGCAGTGATGGATGAGGAACTTTTCTTTGCCATTGAAAAACACAAATTGACAGTGGTAGGTATAGATGGATGCTATCTGAAACCAATAAAAACAGATTACATAATGATCACACCTGGCCAATCTATGGACATTTTATTGGAAGCAAATCAACCTCCTGGTCACTATTCCATGGCTGGAAGGGCATATTCAAGTGCTTTTGGTTCTGGTTTTGATAAGACAACCACAACAGGTTTGCTTATGTATCATGGCTCCACCAACCATCACAGAAAAAGTCCAATTCTTCCTCATCTTCCTCCTTATAACAAAACACAAGCAGCAACTGATTTTACTAAGCAATTCAGAAGCCTTGCAAGCAAAACCCACCCAATCAAAGTCCCAACAGAAGTGGACACACATTTGTTGTTCACCATTTCTGTTAATCTGCTTAATTGTACTGGTAAACCTTGCACAGGCCCATTTGGCAAAAGGTTTGCAGCTAGTGTGAACAACATTAGCCTTGTATATCCACATATAGATTTTCTTAGAGCCTACTACTATAAAATCCCTGGTGTATTTGAAATGGATTTTCCAAAAAATCCAAGGATGGAATTCAATTACACAGCTGATAAATTGCCAGAATATCTTTTGACCCCAGCATTTGGGACCAAAGCGTTGGTTTTGGACTATAATGCCAGTGTTGAGCTTATTTTGCAGGGAACCAATGTGTTAGCAAGTGATAATCACCCTGTTCATTTGCATGGATATAGCTTCTGTGTGGTGGGTTGGGGTTTTGGGAATTTTGACCCCAAAAAAGACCCTCAAAATTATAATCTTATTGACCCACCAGAGCAGACCACGGTTGGAGTTCCCAATAATGGTTGGGTTGCCATCAGATTCAGGGCAAATAATCCAGGTGAATTTTCAAACATTTCCTCTTGTTTGACTAATAAGTTTGAAATTATAATTATTTCATGAATTTGTACTTTACTTGACTTATATCTTCAATATTTATTTGATTTATGATTAGGCTTGTGGTTGATGCATTGCCATATAGAGCGCCATCATACTTGGGGCATGGCTATGGTGTTCCTAGTGCAAGATGGTACTTATCGTCACACACAAATTCTTCCTCCCCCAAAGGGTTTGCCCAAATGTTAAGACTTGGTGTAATGATATATAAACCCTCTCCTTCCTCCAAAAAAGAATATATTATTATTGTTTTAGTATCTCATTTCTCTTTTGTCATTTGTGTTAAGTTGGATAATAGTAATTTTTTTGGTACAAAAGATAATAGTAATAACTTTGGACTGTTCTCTTTCTCTCTCTTTTTTAGATTAGTTTGGACTCTTCTGTCAATTTGCTAACAACCCTCCAACTATATATCTTACTTTTCAAGTCACCCTTTAGGCCTCAACAGTGTAACTCAAATAGAGTTATCAATATCAATACATACAGTAATGACCCAAAAAGCTTAAATGGGCTTGAAATATTGGCCGATTAATTTTTTGGCACGAAGGTATTGTATAAATAGGAGTATAGGACCTCTGTTAGGCCCAAACAATAATTACAAAAAAGATATCTCCTAATATAAAAAATAAATAAGTAATGATAACTTCATATTTGTGATAGAAGAAAATAGCTGTATTTTGTGATTGTGGCAAAACATTCATGCGGACAATCCAGCTATCAGATTTTGCAACTTACAAAATTTATTAAACATTAAAAAAATATTTTTTGTTTTCAAAAGAAAACTATTTTTTATTTTTTATCTTTTGGTGATTCAAAATTTACTATGTCTTTTCGATGTAGTTAATTGAATAAATACATCTCTTTCTTGCTGAAAAGATATGTCCCTTGCAGTATAAAGTTACATTTCTTTGAGGCATATCTATTAATTAATAGACACATCTCGTTATTATATAAAGACACGTTTCTTTAAAAAATTAATTGATGGACACATCAATTAGGAATACATCTATTGATTAATGAAAAGTGCCCTATAATACATGAAAAAATATTTCTATTAATAAATAAAAGGATATAAGTATATAACTGTTATAAGTGTTATTTTATCACCAAAGAAAGTTGCATAAAATAAAAAAGAGGAAATGCATTGCGTCACACAGGTTGTCATATGCAAAAAGAGAAACTACACGTAGATCGAGGTGGCAATTTGGTTGATTTCGACGGGTCAATCCGTAGAGCCGTCAAAACGGGTGGATTAGATTATACATTTCAACCCACCAACTCATTTCAATTTGTCCTGTTTAATTATGGGTCAAAACGGGTTGGTTGTGGGTCGGGACGGGTTGAACCGTGGGTCGGTTTTTTAATATATAGTATTTTATTTGTCATTAAGTTTTTGTGATATGAATTTTTTTTATTTTAGTACTTTTCTAGAAAAAATAAAGAAGAAAAATTTTATTTATTACAAAAGTTATCCATATATTGAGGCTAAATAAATTTCAAAAAAATATTTAATTGAATATTAGTATACGTTTAAATTTGAGATTGAAAAAAAACTGCAAAAATTATGAAATGAAAATACAAAATATTATAAAATTAATAAAAAATAATTTATTTTTATTTTTAATTATTTTTTATTTTTTAGATAGATTGACCCGCCAACCCATCACAAAACAAGATAGATAGAAATTTTCAACCCATATTAAAATACGGGGCGGGACAGGCCAATCCGTTTTTAACGGGTTAAGGACGAGGCGGGCGAATTGACCCATTTTGTCACCTCTTAACTATATACACCTGTCAGATTTTACTTTTTGTAAAATTTTCAGTTATTTCTTTTTGGGCAAAAAATAGCATTTTTCTTTGGATATTATCAACGAACATGTCTGGTATTAACAGGTACATTAATAATATCTTACTACTAATAAATAATGTTTCAAAGATTGTATCCAATTAGGGAGATTTCCTTTTCATGATTTTATAGGTAATTCTACTTTTTTATTTTAAAAACTAATTACTTTCTCATTATATTTTCTCTAATTCTCTTTCTTCGTTCATGTTCTCTTCTGATTGTATTTGATATACATTGAGGGATAGTTTAAACACAATAATAAAATACAAGTATTCAAGTCGCATAATAATTCTACGCGTCATTATTTGTTTGATTTAGCAAACCAAATGGTTCAAGTAGGTCATCAACATCTCTTTTAAACCGACAGAGTAAAGGGACACCCGTGAGTCCTGGAACAGAATCTTAGGAAGTTAGGTGTAGAGAGACAGTAAAAGAACATAATGTGATTTTTTTATTATTGGAAATTTAAAAATAAACTATTCAATTAGTGTAAATTTAAAAATAAATTATTCAATTAATGTAAATTTAATTTACATTAATTTTTCAAAATAATGCAATTAATTGTAAAAGGAAGGAATGTACAATTGATTACATATCGGGGCTGCATAATTGTCACATGGCACAACCAGATGAATTGTACACACACTTATAATTAAAGTCGGCAAAACGGACTCGGCTCGGCGGGCCAACCAGTCCAACGAGGCGGGGCGAGCTGAGTTTTTCAACCCATCTTAAAAGCGGGACAGACTCGTTTTTTAGAGGGTTGAGACGGACCGAGGCGGGTAAGTGTAAAATAGGCTCGGGCTGGCGGGCCAACCTGTAACATCCCGAGCACTGACGAGGACGGGGAGTGATCGCCGGTGCGATAGGGCATGGACAAGGAGCGGCTCTTGACAGGCTTCCAGCAGTAGTTACATGCATGAATGAATCGAATCGACACCCGAAAGAGAGGGATTTCAAAGACTGTGCAGATGTGAAACTGCACAGTTTGTGATAGCTTATAAGAATTAATTGGTACTACCTATACTAACAAGATGCATCTGCTTTTCGGTAGCCCGGAACGGAAGAACTCCACAGTTAAGCAGCGTGCTTGACTTGGAGCAATTCGATGGGTGACCTCCTGGGAAGTTAAGTGTGCGAGTGAGAAAAAAACACACTGAAAAATCTCGTATTAGTATGTGGAGATAGTCATTGATTCTTGAAGCGGCCGAACGTTACACAACCCGCCAAACAAGACGGGGCGGGCTGACTCATTTTTTGGCGGGTTAATGACGTGCCGCCCACTTTGCCATCTCTGCTTATAATGTAACTCATAGATCCCGATTGTCTATTTTATATTTAATTATCAGCAATATTTTTAACTCCTCACACAATGTGAATATTGATTAATGTCAAAAGTATTTATTTAGTCAAATAATAATTAATATAACAAATAATTTTTGGCTACAATTGGTGGTGCATCCTTTTAAATTTAAAATCGTTAAATTTATTATCATAAATTATCAAATTAAATTATTATTTTTATTTTCGGAAAGTTTATTCTTGTCTTACAAGCCAAAAGAAAAAATTGTCCCTGTGATCTATCCACATTTTGATCCATTGTGTGGATAGAAACTAATATACACAAGCTTTCCTATCAATAATCAATAGGAACAGATAATTATCCTTTCAAAGATATGGCATGTGCCGTGTAGATTATTTTACTTGTCTGGATATCTTAGCGTTAGTCGAGCCTTTCCAAATAGAAAGATAGTAACACTTTCGTTTAGTGCAATTTTTTTTTTCCACAATATTAGAAATTAAAGGAATAAACCATGCCATTTTTACCTTAAATCTTGAAAGGCGTTCCAATCAAAACGATTATTTTTTCAAATATGATTGCCAAACTTCATGATGCCAATTGATTATTCTATATTGGTTTTATTGTCCAAGTTTAATGGGTCTGTCATTAAGATTTATACAAAAGGTTACTCTTCGCATCTCTAAAATGAGATTTTTAGTTTCGAATCTCATTCATCTACACAACATAATTCACATCTCATTTTAGGTGAGTGTGCTTGTCTCACAAATAGCGAAGCTCGTTAAAACAAAATCATTATAGCTCATTCTCATATTTATTATTGAATAATGTTCCCATCCTATATGTATCCCCTCTTCAATAATTGAAAAGACACATTTGATATACTAATTTAAGAGCAATTACTTTGCTAAAATACCACCTCAGAACCATAGTAGTGCCTACTCATCCCCCCTTTGCTCTCAACATATGCCCAAGATATATCATCTACGGTAACTCTCCATAGAACTTTGGTTCATATCAATGCATCTTAAATCATTGTTATATTGAGAAACTCAATCCCTTCAAAGGAAACAAATGCTGGCGTAGCCACACTTATGCCAGCAGGTGCCTTGCACCTGCTTGATTTTAAATTTTTTTATTTATTATATATAAATATATAATTAACAAAGATTAAATTTATAATTTGGCACCACCTAAATAAATATAATTATATTTATATTTTCAATCAGAAAAATAAAGTCCAATACCCAAAACCGTTTACCTTATTCATAAATTAAAAATTTATGTTTGAAATACTTACCGAAAAAGTGAGTACCTTTTTATATATTTGCTTTGATATATCGTCATTGATAATTGTTCATGTGAATTTTCAATGTTGTGTGACATTATTTAATACATAATTTAGATAACTATGCTAGAATTCATAATAAATTTTTTTCTTGATTAATTTGTATAATTACGATAAATATTTTGATATGTTAAAATTTTTTGACACCATCTAAACTATTGATCTCGCTCCGCCACTGGAAACAAACTTAATCTCACCACTTGAACACTCCACTGATTAACATTATTTTCATCTTAAAAAAATTCAAAATTTTGTTCAAAATGTCAGGGTATCTCACTTTCACTAAGTAGCAATGATGTAACTGAGGAAACAGCATGTGGGACGGTAAAGGCAGTCCAAATGGCTTCAATGCCAAGCAAGTAACAACATATCATCAATACAAGAAAACTTATTCAGACATTATACTCTTTCTTGTCCCACAGCACAAGCCTTGGGATATACATCAATTATGTCCATGATGAGCATCTAGCTAACCTTTTTTAAAGCTAGGATAATAATAGAATTGCTTAGGGTTGCTCAATACTCTCCAAGGCCATCGGTTACATATACACATGTGACCAGTTTTCAAGTATGTGTCTCAATGTTGAAAAATTAACACATTGTTGGATAATTATTAATCCAACCATCTTAATTTTTGTATTATATATATAAGAACAAAGATGAAGGTGACTCCTCAACTACTAACAGCACCA